TATATATAACTTAGATTTAAGTTAAATTTAAACCTAACTATTTAAAATTTTCGAAAAAATTAAAATATATTAGATTTAAATTCTGTTTAAATTAAAAATATTATTTTCAATTTTAATATATAGTTTATTTAAACTGAGTTTAAATTATAATCAAGTCAATTTTCTTTTTTAAAAAATATTTAGTTTAAGTTAAGTTTAAACTATACTGAAATCTATATAATTATTACTCCGAGGGAGTCAGAACTATCTTAATTATATTAAAAATTCTGACCCTCTCAGAGCTATACCATATAATTTATAAATTCTGACCCCCTCGGAGATCTTATCATATAACAAAGACAGTAGACCTCTCAGAGGGTCAGAACCACTCTGACCCCCAGCCACTAAATTCTGACCCCCTCGGAACTGGGACCCCTCTCCGATGACAGGCGGCTTTAGTCTCCGTCGACCGGTCCCTAAACCTCATTAGGTGGTTTCATCGAATAGGCAACGGAGAAAAGTCTCCGTCAACAGGGAACTGGTCGCGGAAGCTCCTTGTCCCTAAATTGCCAAGCAGAACTGGCGTCCAAAAACCGTGGAGTAAGCACTAACCCCCTTATAACCACTTCGGAAAGCTCCAATGGACTTGAGTGATCGTCGAACATACTGTAGAAAAGGCACTGCACTCACTTCTTCTCATACTCTTCAGCATTGGGCCGCAGATCGGGAAATATCTCCTTCAGTATCGCCAGAGATACATTTGCGTTATCAGTATGGCCTGGATTCCCAAGGTTCCGCGGTCGAGATACAAAATTGGCGGATGTGATGATCACGTAGTCCATAGTGGATCGGGTTTCAGAGCCACCACAGTCTTGAAATAGATCCAAGATGTGGTCCCACCTGATGAGCTGGATGATTGCATTTCTGCGGTCCAACTCCTCGGGTATTTCATACCTCACTGGTCGCGAGATACCGTCCTTAGAAAGCAGGATTGTAGGCTCCTATGATCCCTTTCCTTACGGATAATTTCCCGGAATGCTATAGTCAACTGAGGGCTCGCAATGGCCACCAAAACTATAGAAAGAATACCTGGTGATTCCTTTTGCAGCTTCAGCGCGTTTTCCTGAATGGCTGGGGAACAAGCTGGGTGTCGTCCAGGCAGGTAAGCGGATGCGGAGGGACTGGGGTGTGAGAAATATGCAAGCTGTGGCTGATTGGCCAGATGCAGTTTATCATACCTCATAGTTCTCTGTGGACAAGACTGCGGCTGCATGGGAATCATGGATGCCGATAATAAGTGGATATTATCTGTCGAAGATTCAACACATTTTCACAGTGTCACTATTAGTGCTGATTAGTCTCTGTAGTGCAAGACAAGCCATGCAAGTATCCTTTTTTTGTCGATATAGCCAGCGAAGACTGAATGAATGAATCAGAGATATCGATGCCTTGCCCACCGATACCCTACATCTGCTTCTGACTCAGGGCATGCTTACCTCTCGCCATTTTAGACAAGAGGTGAGGATGCTGTGCTGATTGATCTATGGGACCCCATACTCAAATATCCTGAGGATATTTGGTAGAATATCATACTTATGAAAGTCAGGTTCGATATGTAACGGAATAGTACACTGGATGCCGGTAAACGGGCAATATCAACCACGATTGCCTTTCAAGATGGCGAAAAGCTTGACGAGGTTATTGGGGCCCATTGGGTGGCTGCAGATAGGGTTGTCGCAAATATGTATAAGAAAAGAAAGGCAGAGTAGAGTCAACCCCATCGAGCAGGACTGTGCTAGCCCGGCTGAATGAGGAAGGCAAGCAGCCGAGTATGCACCTGCCCTGCGGCCGCGGATCTTCTCACTGAAATCTGCCATTCAAGAGGTGTCATGTGCCACCTGGTCAAACACCTGGTCACAGATTCTACGATCCTTGTAGGATATTCATACGGACGACTCTCCGGTGGGAGCCTATCCACCTCCGATTCGGTGATTTGGCCCTATGAATACCCACGGATTTGGTAGCCGAAATCCGGTACTCACCATCTATAAATGAACCGTTGCCTGAGTCCCTAGCAATGCCACCAGCTCGAATCATTTTGATCATCTCGTACCAGTAGTAGGCGCCAAAATGTCTAAATCAGTTTTGATCACCGGCTGCAGCAAGGGAGGATTTGGGGAGGCCATGGCCAAAGTCTACCGCGCCAAAGGGTTCCAGGTTTTTGCGACGCTACGCAACATGACCAAAGTCGGATCTCTGGCCGATTGTGACGGGGTTCAGATCGTTGAACTTGATGTGACATCGGCCGAGTGGATTCGTCAATGTGCACAGATTGTTGGGAAACAGACGGGCGGGCGGCTCGATGTCCTTGTCAATAACGCCGGTGTGAACGCCATAGTGCCGCTTCTCGACGCCTCCATCGACGAGGCGAAGAAGGTCTACGATACAAATGTCTGGAGTATTGTTGCCATGGTGCAGGCTTTCGCCCCTATGCTCATTGAGGCCAACGGAGTGGTGTGCAATATCAGTTCTGTGTCTGGCGAAATGGTTTTTGCATGGGCGGGTACGCTCGCCTCGCTCTCGTCCTCGTAAGGCAGTACACCGAATCTGACTCTGATGAATAGGTATCTATAGTAGCTCTAGAAGTGCTGGCACGCGGATTTCCGAGACGTTGCGTCTAGAGATGGCACCTCTAGGTGTACGTGTGGTCACCGTCATCCTCGGCGGTGTCCAGACCAGCGGAAACGACCCAAACAATATCACAGACCTGGAGCTGCCCCCTGGCTCGCAGTACCGAAAGATAACAGCGATCATCGATCGTCATAAGAAGACGATGGTGCATCCAAACAAGCAGAATATCGAGATCGCAGCAAAGAACGTGGTGGATGATGTCCTGAACGGTCGTGGCATCTTCATTCGACGGGGCCAGGCGTCGACTCTGAGTTGGCTGTGCAACACCTTTCTTCCCTACCGACTGTTTACTTGGATGATTAATCGGGAGTCGGCTTTGAATGAAGTTTGATGTGGAGGAAACCTTGCATGGTTTTGAGGGTTTCTTAATGGGCAGGACATGGAACTTTGCATGTATCAAGGATTATGTAAGACTCATCACGCTACCTAACTAAGCAACGAATACAACGGATTTCGGGGGCCGAAGTCCGTCGTCAGTATTTATAGGACGGAAGTCAGTCCGGTCGTGTTCCCCCTCCGTACAGTCAGCAGAGAAAAGTACTCTCTAAGATGTCCTCAAAGCTTGGGCTATCTCCGGAGACTTCGGGTATAGCTTGTAATTTCTAATCGGTACTATGGAAACACTGAACCCAACAACTGAACATGCAAGCACCTACGGCCGTGCGTGCACAAATTGCTACAAGGCAAAGTGCCGATGTGTGCGTGCTCGGAGTGGCAGTGACTGTGAAAGGTTGTCCTGGCTAGACCTGTGACTATCATATCATTCCGCTAATTAATTTTTCAAGGTGCCTCCGTCTAAAGAAAAAGTGCCAACCATCAGAATCAGTTCGCAGGCGTCATGGTCCCATGGCCGAAGGGTCCGATACGCGGATCGCTCGACTAGAAGAAAAGATGGAGAGTTTACTGGCTGCAATGCAAACCTTCGTCAGTTCCTCTAGCTCGTTCGGGGCCCTGGCTGATACCACTCAGCCCATAGCTACGTCAAATGGTGCTCTCGTGAACATGACGAATTTTGATTTCAGTACGAGACTGGCCCTGTCGAATACCACTGTATCAACGCACCCAAATCAATCGCCCCAGTCCTCTTCTTATGCGACGTCTCCGACTGATTCACGGCCGAATCAAGAGGAGGGACGGTTAGATTATTTCCGAAACCATATGCTGCCATATTTTCCGTTCATCGACCTTACTCCGGAGATGACGACGCAGTATCTGCGCCACAACAGGCCTTTCTTGTTACGAGCTATTTACACTGTCACGACCTTCTCGACCCAGGAGAGATTAGCTCAAGTGGAGGAGCTGAAGCACCTCCTATTCACATCTGCATTGCTCAAGGTTGAGTCCAGCATCGATATGCTTCTAGGATTACTGACGTATATTGCTTGGAGTACCGATACTTTCCTCGGCAGAGCGGATCTAGTTTCTCGCCTCATGATGCTCGCGATATCACTGGTATATGATCTGCGGTTATTCAAAGCGTCCGCACCGGACGTGCAAGTCATGATGGCTATCTCCCAAGGTCAAGCTGAAGAAACAAGACAAAGCCTCGACGCTGAGACGCGGTGTAGCTTATTTGAAGGACGCCGGGCAGTATTGGCATGTTTCGTATTGAGTTCCAAGTATGGATCCTCCCTATTTAATCTTCATTATTTTCCAACACTACATCTTTAAGGTTAATACCTAATATGTGAACCGTCCTAGTCTTTCGTCTCACCTGGGCCGTCAGGATGCCTTAAATTGGACTCCCCAAATGGAAGAGGCACTCCACATCCTAACAATCAATGAACCTTGCCCTACGGATAAGCTATTTGTCTCGCAAGTGCGCCTGCAGCTGTTTAAGCAAAAGGCGCAGAACGTTCGGCAAGGGGAGGAGGTAGGATGGACTCGTACAGGGACTGATCCTGCCACGGCCTCACTGCCGCATTTATTGTATTTCAAGATGCTACGCAGGCAGCTGCAAGAGCTCAGGTCTTCATTCCAGGCCGATCTTCATCAAACAGGTAGAGTGTCCTTTCTAGCAAATAACCTGGCAGAGTGTCTTCTTTGCAGATTTATTGATACGTCTATGATGAAGGTACAGACATTCTCCATGCTCACGCGCAGTATGTCGAACTATACATAAACCAACTAGCATATTCCATCAGTCACGAACCACGACCTCTAAATATCGGCGGACCATTGGGATTCGAACGGTTTGAATGCTTATGGCAGTCTGTTGAAAACATCAAATTATGGCTGGACAGCTTCGACGCTATCCACGACTCTAAACTCATCGGCCAACCCTTTCACTTTTGGTCCCAGATGATCACGAGCCTCACGCTGCTGAAATATCTTTCTACCCTCCGAGACCCCGAATGGGATTGCCAAGCGGTGCGGAACGCAGTCCCACTCATCGCGACGATTGACTCAATGCTGCAGAAACTGGATCAGAGCAGCCAGCAACCAGAGCTGCAGTGCAACGACCATTTACTCCATTATTTATCCAAGCTGTTAATGCGATGCAGGCTGTGGGCGGAAGCACGGTGGGATAGCACCTGTCCGATACCGGAAGCGAATGTCCTTAGTGAGAGCGACCTTGATGTAACTAAGCAAAATTCACATATCCCTGATCTGGACCAGATCGCCTGGATACAGTCGATGGATTTGGGAGATGATCAGTGGCTTGACAACGTACTGAGTATACCCACAACACTTAACTAGTGGCTTGCCAGCTGTTCATCAAAACCGCCTGCAGCACAATCTTGCCTTCCATCAGATCCATTCCGAGTTCCTTCAAACACTACGGCTGGAGAACACTCTGTACTTTTCTAGCCCCCTCGACAATCCACGTTATGGACCGTTTACTTTACGCACTGCAGGGCTGGAGACGGTAGGGGCGGAGGGCTTGTTCGTCAGAACAATGAACGCTTGTTTTCCTCTCTGCGCCTATTCTAACACGTTTACCCAGTCTCCATCTTTCCATGTATCAGACTACAAAGACTAGGCGCAAGTATTCAATAGGCCTCTCGCTTCAAGGTTTAAGTGTTTCCCGTACACTAGGGATACGTTGGTCTGGCTCAGCTATCACGGGAAGGAAGGTCAACTACCAACCAATCCATTCCTTCATCAATACCAGGCAGGTCCTTAAGCATCAGGGATCCGTTGGAGATGATATCGTACATAGTCTCTGTGAGCTGAAATAAAGAGAAGCCATACTACGGTGGATAGATAAATGGTTGATTTCGCTTAGCTTAACCCCTCGGAAATATACTTTCATCGCAGCAGATGAGAAAATATAGCATCATTTTCATATTCACACTATGACTACCCCATCACACACGGTTTGGGTTAATCCTGATAGGATTGGAGTCTCTATTCTTGGTCTTTAGAAAGGTTCTAACTATTACCGCCTCCCGATGTGAGCCAGACATTTCCTTCAGCAGTCTGTACTGCTTCACAGCTTCAGCATTCCGCGGGCGTCAGGTCAACTCTTTAGTGAGCACATTTCCAGCCGCAATCTACATAATAAATCCCCCAACACCGTCGTAAGTCTCCTCTGACTGGTGCTGACTATATTTAAAGCTCGACCATTCCCCGTACTCTGACGTGGTGGAAGAAGACCTCACTCTTGCGTACGGTTCACACCGTTCTGCGCAGGGGAGGCCAGGATAACATGGGCATTGGTACCTCCATAACCCAGGGATGTTACTCCAATTCGATCGGTAGGACCTAGCTTTAGGGCGCTTGTCAATGGACGGAATCTTTTAGTGAAGTCGTAGGCGGGATTTGTCTCGCCGAGTTCCCGGAGCGGAGGAACAACCCCACGGGTCAATGACAGGGATGCCTTGATGACGCTCATCAATCCGGAGGCAGTCTCTGAGTTGCCGCAGTTGCCCTTGTTTGAGCCCACATAGATGCAGGAGTCAGGTGCTGCACCGACGGTGTCAAATGCCTTCCGGAGTCCATCCAGCTCGAGTGCGTCCCCCATGCTCGTACCAGATCCGTGCATCTCAACATACTTGATGGTATCCGCTGGGATGCCGCTGGACTGGATGGCATGAGTAATGGTGCGTGCCTGGCCAGTGCTCGACGGGACGGTGAAGCCGGCCTTATCGATGGCGCCGTCGGTACCGATGGCGTGTCCCTCAACGATGGAGTAAATTGTGTTTCCGTCTCGAATGGCAGCTTGCAGGGGCTTCACAACCACAGCGGCGACGGCATCAGCTGGAACGGAACCGTCGCTACGGCTGTCAAAGGGACGGCATTCACCACTGGCGGAGAAAACTTGCCCAGGCGATGTAATGTAACCTCCTTCCTGAGGGTAGACAACCGATGTTCCGCCAATCAGGACGGCCTCGCACTCACCACTACGGAGGGCATTCAAGCCAACATGCAACGCTACAAGAGAGCTAGCGCAAGCAGTGTTCAGCGTCACATTGGGTCCCGTCAAGTTGAGCTTATACGAGGTAAAGGTGGATATATTCTCGTCAAGGAGGGTCCGATACCGTCTCTGGAACGCATTGCTAGGAGCCGGAGTGTTCGGGTCATGGATGTAGGAATTAGCGGCGGCACCAATGAACACTCCCACCTTATTCTCCTCTTTTTTGAACAGATCTATGCATGCATCACTGAGTGCTTCAGAGGCTACGGTGAGAAATATGCGCTTCTATACAGAGTTTAGTATGTTTTCGTAAACCATTTGATGTAATATAGCATACCTGTGGGTCCAAAGTTTTGGCCTCTTCCTCGGAGAGACTCCAGGCAGCGGGGTTGAAGTCATCCAGGCCGTGTATAGTCCCATAGCGGGGAACGAATACTTCATCTGCATCGATATCCAAATGACCATGTCCTGCTGCACTCGATGCGGTGGTGATTCCATCACGGCGATTCATCAAAAGATCCCAATATTTCTCCACATCGTCGGCGCCAGGGAAGCGACCAGACAAGCCAACAATTGCAAACTTCTCTTCGGGTTGATCGAAGGAGCTAATGGAAGATCTGGGAGTCAGAGTACCGGATGCACTTGGACTTGGTCCCATGTCTGCGGAGGATGTTGAGGGAGGACTGGATTCGAAGTCAACAAGTCCTGCGAGAAAGGCAGCCTGCTTCTCAATAGTCGTCTGCTGAAAGCAGTCTAAAAGGCGGATACCAGCGGTGGGGAACCGCTCACTGATCCGCTTATGCAGTTCAACGAGGAGGATGCTGTGGCCACCTGCATCGAAGAAATTGACATCTTCCATGGGAGGTTTGGAGAGGCCGAGAACATCCACCCATATCAGGGATACCGTCGAAGCTAGTGAAGCCCTGACTCGACCTGCATCAAGCTTTCTCTCCCCCGCTTTGAAGGTCGGTGTTTTCCGCGTTGTATCCGTCGAGCTAGCTTTGGATGCCACGGCCGTAGGAATTCGAACTTTTTGAACAACTGCTGCATGATCCACCTTCCCATTCGCGTTGAGGGGAAGCTCTGAAACGGCGTGAATGTTAGTGGGAACAGAGTAAGCAGGCACGTCGTCCATCAGTCTCCGACGGACATCATCGCAATTGACGCTCTCCGGAGTCACAAAGGCAATCAGTGAGCCATCGACAACTTGTACAGAGACTAGCATGACTTCCGGACTGTGGTCCAGGATGCTCTTTTCAATCTCGTACAGGTCCATGCGGTAGCCGCGAAGCTTAATCTCACGGTTGTTCATACGGCCACCGATCAAGACTTTGCCATCAGCGGTCAGTGAACCTCGATCTCCGCTGCGGTAGAGACGCCCTTTCCGACCCTGTAGCTCAATCTTGCGGAATTTGGTGGCGGTGAGTTCATCCTGGTCTTTGTAACCCCGAGAGACTTGGGGCCCAAAGATGCAGATCTCGCCGGTTTCCCCAACCGATAAAGGCACATCTGAACCTTCGTTACAGATCACGACCTCACAATTTGGGAACGGCTTGCCGATCACAGATGGAGAAGGATTCTCAGAATTGCCAGGATCTTCGGCGATTGGTTCCGAAGTAACGATCACTCTGTAGTAGTACAATAAGCAGTTGCTTCGGTGTAAACACCGCTGAAGTAGAGGAGATTCACTTACGTGGTCTCGGTCGGTCCATATGCATGCAGGAGAGTCACTTTCTTCCGCCATGCTCTTAACAATCCGGTAGAGGAGGCTTCCCCACCCACAGAGATTAGCCTCAAATTGGCGAGGGGCCTGTCTATCGGGATAGTTGCGAGCACCGAGGGAGTGGTATGGAAGAAGTTGATACGGTTCATCTCTAGGACGTCGGCTAAATAATCGCCAACCAGCAGAGTGGGGTGCTCGACGAAGCAAAGTGTCGCACCATAAGATAGAGTGACGGCCCACTCGAGGATAGATGCGTCAAATGCGAATGATGCGAACTGGAGGACCTTACTCCCAGGGCCAATATGTACAACGCTGCGAGCTGCACTTACATAGTGGGCGACATTCGCGTGTTCCACCATGATGCCCTTAGGTTGTCCGGTTGAACCGGAGGTGAATACCACTGAAAGCCAGAAGTTAGCTTACTAGTAATACCAGGTCGGCAAAATGTACTCACTGTACGCTAGGTCGTTATCTGCAGTAGCCTGCCCCGTACAATGGGCCACTGGGTAGCTCATGAGCTCGCCCTCGAATCCAGCATCCAGTACAATAACGGAAGGTACCTTGTCAACTTGCGAGAGAAGGTCATCCGCTGCTGCAGTATCAGTCACGAGTTGAACAGGTTCACAAGTACGGAGAATTGACTGCTTGCGACCCGTGGGCAATGCTTTGTCGACCACTACAAAACAGCCTCCTGCCTTGAGAATGCCGATGATCCATAAGAGAAGTGCAAATCCACGGTTGATGTGCAACGCAACGGTTTCACCGGCGGTTATCCCATTACCACACAGATAATGCGCGATCTGGTTCGTTCTCCTATCAAGCTCAGCATATGTCATTTGCTGACCACGTTCTGCACAATACAGCGCAATGGCATCTGGCTGGGCAGCACATCGAGCCTCGATCCACTGATGCACCCGGGAAGAGGTGATTGCATCAACGGCATCTATCCTAGGCCCGGATATAATATCTGCAACAGTATGGCTTTCGAGATATGGAAGCTGGTCGACATGAAAATTGGGGTTTTCTTGTGATAGTTTGACGGTATCCAGGAATTGCTTCCTCATGGTTTCGATCGCGTCGGAGTTAAACACCGCTGGGTTGCTTATAACCTAGTGATCGTCAGCTACCGTAAGCCATCCGTGCTGTATATATATGATCCCACATACACCTAAAGAGACACCCGTCTGGGTCTCAAGGAAACAAAAGAAGAGATCCCAAACACCTTCCACGGGGTATATGGTACAGTTCTCGCTGGCAAGCTTGGGAGAGAAAGTGACAGACACTTTGAAGTCCAACATCTTGTCGCTTATCGTCTCCCTCGCCGCATCAACGAGCGAGACAAAGGGAAACATCTCATGCTTCTTGGCAGTGGAGATGGAGCGCCCCATCTCTTTGACGGCATCAGCAAACGTGGCTCGGCGCTGGAGAAGGGACGAGACGGGAGTTTTAATTGGCATCTAACGGGACAGTTAGCCTCTTGCAGCACGTACGGGCCATCTGGGATTCCAGAGTCATACAGTATTTGCCATATGAGATACACAGCCTTCGTAGCCTTGTGGTCTCCCACCCAACGCTACGAGGAGAGTATGATCATGGTGGGGGGTCGGCTGGGCAATCCCCGATGTTATCAGTCCGACTATCGAGAAGGCAACGCGAAACCAGGATGTTTTGTACAAACTGCCCCAGGCCTTCAATTCATCATTTGTGAAAGAGGTCCAGGTATTCATAACTCGATAATCATTAGTGCCATCCCTTTTCGGAGCGGCCCATTCAAACGGCACAGTATGTGACAGTTGGGACATCCAAAATTGCTCCGCCGCTTTCATAGCTGGGCCCCTAAGAAAAGCGTCCTGTGTCCCTAGTATGAGCTACCGACAAGGATGTGGGAGCGCGAATTATCTTACTTGCTTCTGAACGAACTGCCCGTAACCCGAGGAATTGGATGAAGCCTGGGCAACCACAGATTGATCCAACTGTGGATGAAGTTGCTGTAAGATGCATTGGGACAGGTAGCTCATGCTCGACCCATCCACTGCTATATGGTGGCCCACAATGTAAAGATCATAGTGCGTTTGGAGCATGCCGTTGCTGGTTGAAACCTTCTGTAGGATGACCCATCGGACGGGAAATTCCACACTCAGATCAAAGCTCCTACGTAGGGCTGAGGATACACGATCAGGGTCCTGGACAATCTCGAATTTCTGGAAGGAGGTAGCAGGGCTATGCACAGCCATGTAAGACTGGTTGATATCATTGGATTTGTGGTCAAGGTGAAACGTTGTTCGGAGCATTTCATGCTGTTGGCCAAGAGCGTAAATTACTTCTTTGTGTCAGCATCGATGTTTAGGCACTTCTGAGCGGGGGCTTGTGGCTCAGTCAATACCTTGCAAGATCTGGTCCAGCGTCGGGCTGAGCTCCTGCAAATTGATAAAGAGCGTTAGATGGTAATGCGAAGCATGCGGCCGACGGAGATAGTCTAGCCACAAAGCCTGCTGGACCTTTGATAAAGTGATAACAGCAGTCAATTCGCCAGCTGGCTCCTGACTCAGGAAGTGCCCCTGGCTTTCTGTCATGGCGGGCCCCGTAAGGAACGGCATAGGCGTTAGGGTAGTCATGATGAATCAAAATAGGCAGAGGAGCACAACCGATGTTGTCAGTGATATGCGGTCCAGGCGGCCCCAGTACTTGTTGTTCGTGTATCTACTGGAAATGGTCCCGCTACTTATATCGTAGTTTTTACTACAAGAATCGCCCTCTCCATTTGCCCGTGAAGTATAACATTCTAAGGAAGGCTCAGCCAAGGACTGGCGCTCAGCTCGCATAGAAGGATTGCCAGGATCCCGTCTAGCCTGATCGTCTATATTCAGCGTCTCATGCTAAGACTGCAGGGTATTCGCCTCCATCACAGGGATCAGAGCAATGTCTTCTTGTATTTTGTCCGGGTATCCGTTCATAGCCGTGGTGGTTCCACATTGCAATATCGTTCAACTTTGGTCTGGAGCGCATCTAGAACGGCTAGGCAAGCATAATTGTATCGGTCCATGTTATACGGCCATCCATTCGAGAGGTATGACAGACGATCTGACCAGTGGATACCTTAGATTGGGCACGGTGCAACCCTGCTAGTGACGATTTGCCATGATTATTTTTGCATTGCGCCATTGACGTTTGTCAGCGAGCTTGACTGGCGCGGTAAAGATGGACCTGCAGACATTTCCGGTGAGAATCCTGCAGTTTAAAGGCGGGCCATTACGAATGTTGCTATAGATGCCGATCGATACTATTCAAGTTTCCTTTTTAGACAGTAACTTTTGGCTGTTCGTTTATTTTAGCGCTCTTAATACTTTTCACTGCAAAGGATGGGTGAGAGCCCCCTGGTATTTGCAGCAAAATGTTCACAGCCCACATAGCCGTTAGGAGGTCTATTATTGTGCCGAGTAGAGCATCAGTGCTACTATTGAGGATTGCGCTAAAATACGAGGGCTGTGCCTAAATGGTATGCTAGAGCGCTAGTATAGTTTGCGGGTCGATCGTCTTGGCTACCAAGACTCACTGTATGCAAGTCTGGACCATTCCTGTAGAAAGGGGTACAAATCAGTTCTATTGGATCCCGACTGCCTGGCCATTGTTTGCATCCGATGTTCTTCCAAAGAGCTGTCTGATAAGGCATGACTCTTTAGCACACAACCCGGCGATGAGCACATATCGAAGACTATGGATGATTATAGAATCTACTTCCAAGCAATAAAAATATACAGGACTACATAATACTGTCCGGTCTGTAGCGATTTGGGTCCAGAAGTCATACTATTTTCTGAGCCGATGACACGAGTGACTGGATATGAGGAAGGGTGGCTTGAAACAAGACCTTCTTGGCAGCTGAAGGAACCAGAAAAGCACAGGAAAACGTGCCGTGATGGTTACTTCAAATCTGATAGGCGTTTCTTGGCTCTGAAGGATTTATCCACCATGATGAAGATGGCCAAGGTGGAGAGCGAAGCTCAACGGATGGCCCGCCACCGGCGCCAATCCACACACTTGTTTGAACGAAAGTTGGTAAATTCTCATAGAGGGCAACTCAGATTATATCTCCATTTTCACATATAAGGTGCGGCTGCAGAGTGTTTTCCTTTGTCCGTCTTGATCTTTGGTTGGCATGTTAAATATTGTCGGTGTTATCGTCCATCAAAGGTCTCCAACGTATAGGTCTCGGGCCCTCGGCCAATCGGAGTGGCTTGGTCCCTGTGGAGTACCGTTGCAGCCAAAATTCTATGAATACTTGGCAACCAGCGACCCTTCGGGTCCGTGATGAAAATGGTTTGAAAGGGTCCAATACGTACATTAGTCGTGGTGTTATTCTTCAGCCATTACGCGGCCCAAGCCCGCGGCATGTACCCTTCCGCTCGATACCCACCGGAGTCGCTGCATAGAGAGTAGTCATTTGGCCCAATGTCATGTGTTTATCACAGCACGTAGATCACTTATAGAATCATCAGATTGAGTTCCTTCTTTCGGTTATCGACTTGTGATGCAATTTGTCACGATCCACCTCGAACAACGTTTCTGTACACGGCACACCAATAAGTCGTGAAGTAGTCTCGTCAAGCCTTGAGAGCCTCATAAGGGGAACTGGACGATATACTGGGCGCCAGAGAAAAAGCTTAGCTCGACTGAACCTGGTAACAATTTGGCTGATCCGACAAGCCCTCCGAAGCCCGGAGGATCCGCGGAGGATCCGCGGGCGATCCGTCACGGTTAGTAGTGGCTAATTCGGAGGGGAGAAAAGAAAACAAAAGAAAAAGAAAAAAAAAGAAAAATTAAAAGCATATGGTGCAGGAAATCTCTAGCCAAGGAACAATGTGTACATAATCGCCTCCCCGAACTACTTTCTTCCATGACACCAGGCTACTCTCTTTTTCCTTCTCAGTCTCTTGTATCGTTGGGTCCGCCGTCCACGTCCGCGGTACTTTCCACACCATGGGAGCCCTGCCATGGGCGCAACTGCGCGCTATCCCATACAGAATGAGAAGCCGCAGTCCTTACCTGACTCTAGCCGTCGTGTGAGTTCCGTCAGCCATTTAGTGTGTCATTGACTAAATGCCATAGATGTACGGCGATGTTTCTGGACCTCGCCAATCTCAGTGCCATCACTATCGCCCTCCCGACGATACAGAAGGAGTGGGGCACGACTGAGGGCGATCTGCAATGGATTATTTCTGCCTATTCGATCACGGTATGGTATTCACACCGGCCATTGGATGTAGCCGGGGTACTAAATCCTGTCAGTTCGGAGCATTTCTTCTCCTAGGAGGCCGAGGGGGGGACTTGTTTGGGTAAGGGAACTTTCGAAGGATTTTCCAACCTGAGATGGGCTAATGCATACCATCACACTAGTCACCACCGTGTTCTTCTATTCGGCATGTCATTTTTTGCACTATTCACTATGGTTTGTGGGCTCGCCCCCAACTTCATTGGCTTGGTCGTGGCCAGGGCCCTGCAGGGTAGGCTGTTCCGAACCTCACCTCTCCATTGTGCACAAACATTTACGTAAGGTCATAGGTATTGGCGCTGCTTTTACGATTCCCTCCGCCCAGGCCCATATTGCTGTGTGCTTCCCCGAGCCAGCAAAGAAAGCCCAGGCCCTGGGCTTCTGGGGAGTATCAGGTTCCCTTGGCTTCATGTGAGCTCGCCACCCCGCCCCCTGATGCCTCTGCTGACAGGGCAACAGTATCGGTCTTATCTTGGGTGGTGTTCTGACGGCATATGTTGGTTGGCGATGGATCTTTTGGGTATCTCTCATTTTGTCCGGTGTCATCATCCCCGCGGCATTTTTCATCCTCCCACGACCTGATCGTCCACCTGCCGATGCAGCAGCGTCCCCAGACGACGAGTTGGAAGCAGGGCAGCACGATGCCCATACCAACAGGCCGGCCGCACTCTTCCGGAGAATAGTCCATCGCTTCGATCCGCTAGGCATTGCACTGAGTGTGGCGGGAATTCTGCTCCTCACCTACGCGCTCACGTCTGCAAATACAGAAGGATGGGGAAGTGCACGCATTGTTGCCCCGCTGGTCGTTTCAGTGGTCCTACTAGGCCTATTCGTATTCCATGAGTATCGGACCAGCAACGGGATTGTGGCACCGCACCTTTTCCGCTCCACCTCCTTTAACCTCACTCTCGTGCTTGCCGTGAACACGTATGCCGTCCGCCAGGCCTGCACCTACTTCCTAACCCTCCAGCTCCAGTCCTACGGGAACAGTGCAATCCACACCTCTGTCCTCTTCATAGCTCTGGGAGTGAGTGCCCTCATCTTCAATACGCTGTCCGGTCGATTAGTGCCCATTCTCGGTGCACGTCTTATGGTATGTTTACGACGCCGACCCCTCCTGCCATCCTGCACTGCCATCGAGACAAGAAGCCTTTTCACTAACAAGGATTGGGGCAGTTTATCTTGGGCTGGGGCTTCTCCATTCCTGGTGTGCTCCTCTTTTCCTTCATTGATCATGATACCTCATACTGGCGGTACACCTTTCCCGGGATGATCCTCTATATTGCGGGAATCGGGGCGGTATACATCACAGCCAATTTCGTCATCGTTTCGTCCGCGTCTCGAGCTGACCAGGGCGCTGTTGCCGGGGTGTTCAACCTGGCACTCCAGGTAGGTGGCTCGGTTCTCGGTCTGGCGGTCATCACGGCCATTGCACAGGGTATCCAGCGACGATACGGTGACCCATCTCTCCCGAAGGACGCCTACGGTCGCATCGGCTACCAGAGTGCCTATTATAGTTGTGTCATTCTGTGTTTTGTTGCCCTGTTGCTCAGTGTGTTCGCAATTGAAATCCCACCGAGTATGAAGGGGACGGTGTGGAAGAGATTTCAGAAAGAGCGCCCCTCTTCGATTGAAGAGAAGTGAGATTAATAGGAGACAGTACGCTGGTTTCAAGACTAGCGACAGGTTGGTGGACTAAGACAGGCGGACTGTGCTTGAAAAGCGTGGAGTAGTTGTGCAAATAGAAACCCTTCATAATGCATTAATTTATTGGCCCTTGTTATTACTGTAAGGTGCCTGGCCTATCAAACATCGGCTCCCACCGCTAAACCGTTTACTAATAAAGCTCAAGTGCACTCAATCCGCGTTGACCAGGTTTCCGGAACTAAACACGGAAATATATATATATCTATATAGATATCCACCATTCCATAACGTCACAAGACCTCGGAGAGCGGACCTACTAGTTGAGTCCGGAGTCTAGTTGCTTGCAAATGTAACCATCTGTGAAGGGTGCCAATCAACAACTTTAGTGAGAAGCCCATGCGGCGTTGTCAGAAGGATCAATAACCTACGCCCATGCCGCCACCGGTGTTATTACACAAGTCTCATATATCACTTGCCAGTGAAATTGTATAGGACTGGTAGGTTTGTAGCTACCATTATGTACCACTCACCAATTCAACTCCGTATATCTGGCCACTCTTGGTCCGATACGCAACATGGGGATTTACATGTGTTCTTGGCGCCGTTCTGAGGGGTTCAGGTGGTCTGTACCATCGGCCAGGAGGCTTAGGTTCTTATCAAAGGGTTGCATTTCATTACGACTCATGCTCATGTCCAGCATCGTACTGGACAGCTTTGCTGTCGATCCTTACACCTCGCTGCTTGTTCTCTGCAGCCGAGGCGGTGTAATATTCAGTGACTACCTTCGGAATATGCGGGGTCGTTTAGAAGTGGCTTCTCCTTCAAGAGACTCTGCTGCCAGATAATAATTTTGAATCCAAGGTGGCAACTTCTCGTGGTGAAAGCCCGGTTCAATGTGTTGCACTCTTGTTGCATGCGCGAACGGACCCAGATATGCTCGAGGCCTTCAAATGGGGGCAACTCTCCCAGAAGTACGTATCTTCATTGCAAGGTGTGAAACCCAAAATTCCTGCTTACTAAAGCCGCTTCATGGAGCCCTATGACTCTAGTTTAGTTGCGTCATGGATAGCGAGTTAGGTTCTGGGTGATTAATGGAATATTCTCCACGTCAGTGGCTTCAGAGTGCAAGGTAACATTATCACGGCGATATTAATTAGGCACCAACACAACTAAGCCACGTCAGATGGGCATGTCTACGTCATAGCCTGAAGCTACTGGCTTCAGATCTGTCATCCACCGCAACTGGCCGACCTGGTTGCATGCCTATTGCTGTTTGGACCGGACCTTGTTAGACAAGGAGCGGTCAAACAGAGAACCCCGTAGCCACGGAGACTCCGTATGTCGAGAGGGTCCGTGTGTTCAACGATCAATGATTTATTCTATGGAGCATGCCTGGTGAGACGCTCAAATATATAACGGAAGTTGTGCTCGAACACTTTACACCTCTCCTCCTGGCAGGTCCTTAGGGCTGTGACGGGCTAGAAGTCTACGGGAAACACGGCGGTAGGAGACTTGCTGATCGGATCTTTGTACGATCCCGGGCATGATGACGACCCCTCTAGTTTTGATTATCGGGTGTGGGATTGCTGGTCCTATACTTGGAATTCTTTACAAGCGCAAGGGGTACCACGCTATTGTTTTTGAGAAGGTGAAGGCGCTGGGAGATGCCGGGGCATCAATAATGCTGATGCCAAACGGGCGAGTATTCTATCTAAATCTGCGAAACATAAACCGCTGACCAATTCTGAAGGTTAAAGGTTCTTAATTTGGTTGGCCTCGCAGACGCAGTTGCCAAAGAATCGCTGCCCCTGATAGGCTTTTGGGATGGCGTCGCCTCAGGGGAGACCTTGGGTCATTCGGGGCTTCCCGCGGCCTTCACAGCAAGATATGGGCAGCCAGCCGCCGGGATCAAACGGGCATCGATCAACTTGATGCTGAAAAAGAAATTGCTCGACATAGACGTCGAACTACGCGAGGGGTGGAAGTTGGAGTCGATCCAGGAGAATGAGGATTCTGTCACGGCTATCTTCGACGGCGGGCGCACGGTAACCGGCTCGTTCCTCGTCGGCTGCGATGGCATCAAGGCAGCCTCACGGAGTATCATACTGGAGATGCAAGGTATCCATACGGGTATGCCGACCTTCACGGGCCTGGCGCAGGTGGCGGGCATATCGCCTACGCCAGAGTCGCTGGACGCCTTCCGACGTGGCAGCCTCTGTAACTGGTACGGAGATGGCAAACACATCATCGCGTATCCCATATCATCCACTCTTACCTCCTGGGCCGTCACGCTTCCCCAGATGCAGCAACACGAAGAGACGTGGCGTCTGTCCGACCCAGCGGAGGTCGAGGCGCAGCGTGAGACGCTAGCATCAGAGTTGAGTGGTTTCGAGCCGGTAGTGTTGACCCTAATCAAGACGGCGACCCGGATTATCAAGTTTGGCCTTTTTGATCGTGAGGAACTAAGTCCCGAGCAGTGGCATTCAACGCGCTGTGTGCTGGTCGGCGATGCAGCTCATCCCACGACCCCTCACCTAGGGCAGGGCGCGAACCAGGCTTTGTAAGATGTTATTGCTTTGGGTGCTTGGTGCAGAGATCTCACTGACCATACTTCAGGGAGGACTGCTACCATCTTATGCAATCCATGCCGTGCATAGAGCCAGGAAGTGTGGACTACGCCGAAAGGTTGGACTGCCTTGACTCAGATCTCCCGAGCCTCTTCCAGGCTTACGCAGAAAGGCGCCAACCTCGTACATCAGCGTTGGTGAAGGAAGCTCGCGCTCAAGGGGACAAGCGTGTAGTGACCTCTCCTGCACTGTGTAAAGAACGTGATGCGGTAATTGCTGCAGCATGGAGCGATCCCGACGCTATCAGGACCAAGTATGAAGCATTGCTGAAGGAGCCGTTTTGAGTTATTCTTATGGCTTGAATGTAGTTCCACATTCTGGTTAACTACTACACATTTATCTCTTGTTTCGGATCTTCACCTGTCATGTGTAGACCTAACATATTGGTAGATGGCCGATCCGAGAGACAATTCCGTGCCACTAGAAGTACTGGCATCAATCCATTCTCGTATTATACGTTGATGTCCAGGGCCTATGATAGAGAATGACAAGATCCAACGAATGGATAGTGGGGGAGCACGTAAGGATTTTGGAAGCTATAAAATCGGACCGGGACCCACCGCAATTCTAGCTCCTATATCGTATTGAGCTATGCATCGTCTGGGTGTGCAGATGATGATGTCTATTACGCATATTTGCAGCTGTAGGAAATAGCAGCATTGCAATGTACTCTTGGCTCAAAACAATATTGTACGACTCGTCAGGCTTAGATGGGAGCATACAAAATGGCACCATCAACTTCAACAACAACCTGTGGTGGCTGCTTCTATAATATTCGTTAGTACAGATCTTCGAGATGATAATCCAAATCGGACGACTTAGAAAGTGCGCTAGCCAAAACAACTGTCTAGTCTGCCTAAGCCAAAGGCAAAGTCACCGCAGCGTCCCTGGATTGGCCATCGGAATTCCGGCTCTTGGTTTTGGCGTCCGCGCATCATAAATTGAAAGTTTCTTGTGACGGTGTCGAGCGGACGAACAATGTCAGCCTAAATGTTGAAGCACGGCCTCTATCACCTCCTGCTCGCTGAATGCCGATTTGTAGATAAAGGTCACTACGTCGTGATCGAGCTTACATCTGATCCCCAACTATGCGTCATTGACGCGACCCCCGGCTTCGAACGTCAGATCATGGACTTTCAATATAATTTAGAGATCAATGATCATTTGTTGGAAGTCGTAACAGACAGCAGGAAGTGCTTGAGTGCGGTGGCTGGGACCCTGGTGTCACCGGCCTATGGTGATCCTTTCATGGTTTTTGTGTCTGAACGTCTGCTGATTCACAGTCGGCTCTACTCTTCGTTTGCTTCAATGGCCCTTTCAATTTGAGGTGCTCAATCAATTGAAAGTAAAGTATTCTCTTCCAAGAGCAAATACCGTGTCCGTTGTTAATTGCCTAGCGCTTTGTCTGTTTCACAGCAATACCATGCATTCTGAAGACTTGACTACCTTTTCATATTACAGCTTCTTCTTAGTCAATCCAAAGATAATACAAGAGCCTCTACTGGAGCTCTATTCGAAAATGTGTCGATGGCGTTGGCAGAGAGCATCCGGTTCAACGATGAGAATGCAGCTCTAAATGGGTGGTAAATTTCATCTAAAGCTAAATACAGGCCATGGATCAGTGCTGTTTTAGTAGTCGACTGGAACAATGTTACGTTGTTGTTGCTCACAACTCGTTGATAGTCCACGTAGACCGACAGATATTCAATAGAATGGATCCATTACCTTAGATATGACAAAGTAAAAATGGTAGAACGACTGCTGAGTAAAACTGTCGAAGTGGATTAGAGGTGAATCAGAGATTTGGAGCACGGGTAGCTTCAGAATAATCTTCGAGTAAATAACTAAGAACTAGGCTATCATATCTAAAGCTAACCATGTAGATATAACCACTTGCATCCGGAGATGAATCATAAAGTGTCCACTGGTGACTCTGGTAAGCATGGTGCGACTTTGCGCGCCATATGCATCCTTACACCAAGCCCATGTGTTTCACTACTTTCTGTTCCATTCAATCTTGAGCTCTTGTACCAACTTGCTGTAGGAACAGTCACTATCTGGAACAAACCGATCTTTGTGGAGGGTATTGTCCAAGTAGTCAAAGTATTCGTAGTGCTCTTTGTCAGACTGCTCAAACTGGTAGCACTGCAGCGTGATGCACACCGTCTTGTAATTATTTTGGAGCTTATGGATCTGAAACTGCTTGTCGCCTAGCCATGTGACATCCCCCTTGCTCAGCTTGGTCGTTTTACCAACCTGCTGCGGTTGGCGGCCCTCTTGGACGGCATCATACCAGGCGCAGTCAATGCTACCATATAGGACTTTGATCACCGCCGATGCCTTTCCGTGGTCATGGATCGGGGATGAATGACCCGGGGGCCAAATTTCCATCACGTACGGTATTCCAGGGGAGTTCGCCTACCCAGGGAAAGCAATACCGTTAGATACAAGTCGACTAGACGCTGTAAATAGGGGTAGACTGACCAAGTTGTTTCCCACCGTAATTCGCAGATAAGTCTTCAATTTGTCATGAAACTCATCCCTTTTCTTTTTTTCTTCCAGGATCTTGCCGCACACCAGGTTCGGATCTCGACAACTATAGTCGATGGCTTGTGCCAGCTGAGGAAAGCTGGCGGACTCCAATGAGACATTGTGACCCGCGACATTGTGATACAGGTCTTGACATCCACGAGGTAGATTGGCATATGTGGTTCGAGTGTATTTGTCGAGATCGTCGAGAGATACCTGCTCATCTGAGACAACTAGAGGAGGCTTGTCCATCGTGACGGGCAAGGGGTCGTATCTCACATCCTGCGTTGGGATTTCCTAGAGGGGCCGTCATTGCTTGCGTCTGCTGGACACGGAGAACGCCGCTTACCCTGCCATCTTGTTGAATTTCGGTTGACTTCAGTTGGTCCATCCACTGTTTGGACGGGTTGTCCCCATCAAAATGCGCCTCCAGGTATGTCAGGGACGCATTTGTGAGATGTTGACCGTATCGGAAGCGTTTATTGCTTCGATCAACAGATATCCAGTAAACCGTAGGGTCCTTCTTGGATTGGACATTCAAGTAGGCAGATGCAGGTTGCTTCGGATAATAAACGTATGGAAGTTTCTTCGGGCCTTCTGATGTGCTCGGCTCTGTTGGGTATTGAATCACGGGAATATCTCTGAATGGTTTCGAATCGGCATCCTTCATTTGCAGGACACAACTCTTAGCGGTGACCGTGAGCTTCAAGGTTGGGAGATCCGGTCCCGCGGAGCGGACAATAAACTCCAACGTCCCTGTTGTCTTTGACCGGACCGCTATGGTCCCCAAGCCTCCAATCGTCATTTCAATAGAAGAATAAGGGACATGACCAGAAAGAATCCCATCTGGCTCGGGGGCCCAGAATGGATTGGTGAAATGCTCGGGGTCTGCCATGATGGATTAGGTGGGGTTGGCTTGGATCGAGGGCAGTAGGCGCTATCGTGCATCCACGGTTTGCTGTTCTTGTAGAAAGCTGGGAGTCCATCGTGGTCCTTATATAGCTTTGGGGGCGGGTTTACAGCTCGCCAAATGCAGCGATCCATAACTGCAAATGACGTGGCGGTCGGCATCAGCTGAGGGGAGACATGATGGATGCATAACACGGCACGTTAGCCATGCGAATCAGAGAGCGTAGTGGTGATTTGAGTAGTAGCGCCTGGCCGAGGATCATAAGTACCATGCATGGTCCGATGGCAGGCTGAGCTGAAAGCCGGGGTGGAATGCATTGGACTGGACCTCGTCTGCCAGAAACAGTCAGACGGATCAACAGGTTTGCGGACCATCCTCGAAGTTAAGGATCCTGTAACATTGGGATATCTCGTGGTCGATCTAGCCTACTGTTACAGGTAGGCTTTCATATATTGTTCTCTCCGGGGTTCCTTTCCCTGGATCGTTCTATCTCAAGAACGTAGTCTGGGGTCCAGGCAGTTTCCGCCTTATTTGCCTCCAAGAATCCGCTAATGTGCAATTGTCATGTTTTGCACGTCTGTGCGTTTCTGCATGAGGGAAATGCAGATCTATTAGTAACCTTTCGTCATCCAACGAACCATCCCAAGTGGGTCAAGAGAAGCATACGAGCTGAGGGGGAAGCGGGGATACACCCGGCGGCCCGATCACCGTCCATTCTTAGTACTGGCCATGATTGGAACACTTTGCAGACAGTATTGCAGAGACTTTTTTCTGCTGGCGGGGTCGCTCCAATAGCACTTGACTCATTAGTTATGCCTCACTACGAGTAGCTTGAATTTGGCATCCACTTTATATCTCAATCGCAGAAGACTGCCCCACGACCCACACCTCTCATGTAAGACAAAATGACCCTGCGACTGTTGCCACTTCCTACGTGCAATGCACGAGCTGATCAAGATAGTGCATCAATTCCAGGAGCTATAGGCGTTGTGAGTCAGAGGGCCCCGTTTACCATTTAGATCCATTTGAAATCTCTTCCTCTGCATTGTAGCTCCTTGGTCGAAGGCATTCATGAAGAGACAGCATGCTTATAGACATCTTTCCAGGGGCTCACGGTATAGTGATCAGTTGCTGAACCAGAGAGTGACGTGACCGGGCCAGGACCGACTTAGGGAATACAGGGTAGGTGACATTCGTGCGATGTAGAAAGAAACAAGCAATAGAAGTACAAGTAATGCCATAACTGAGCGGCAGATTCGCGAAAACGACATGTATTACGGCGTGTGCTGATTGGAATCTCTGTGGAAGAAGTTGTGCGGAATCTATGTTGCCTCGCCGTCACTATGGTCAGGGAACGACCATATCTGGCTGGAAGCAGAAGAGAACAGACATCAGCAGTAACATGCGCTAATTTTGAAACAAGACAAAGATTGACATGTAAAGTTTATGTAAAGAGCTTTCCTAATCCTACAGAAGGAAATTCCAGCTGTTCATAGTTTGCAAATGCTCCGAAAGGCGCTTATCGGGGTCAGGAATGTGCTTAGACGTCGGGTCATCATGAATATGAAAGAATATGAAAACCACAAAGATGGAGCGGCAAAACAGCAACGATCAAGTCAAAGCCAACAAATGCAAAAAAGAAAAAACATACAACAGGAGGGATTCGCTGGTGGTCACCCACCCAACTACTAACCTCCCGGCGTGTGGCTTAAGTACGGCTGAGCGGACGGGAAGCCCTGTTCTCCACACCCTATGGTCGTATGTATCATTTCGATGGACTGTAATAAACTATATAGGGAACTAGGTCAATGGATAAAATATCATCGACTGTGATCTGTTCGCCTGTTATGGCAGGATACTCAATCCTTTATGCTATTAAGGCCTCCTACCCTTTTACATAAAGCCCTCAATCTCATGTAACAGCTCCAAATACCTCATCCTAAAAGGCGAATGCTGCTACAACGCCTCCTGGTCCGTCACCCACGGATAACTACAGCCACCACTCCCTCCTCGGATTCGGCAAGACATGGCTCAGGATTATGAACCGGAGAGGCCCCGTAAAGAACCACACCACCGCCAGGGTTTCCAAAGAGCAGATTCACAGCCCTCGTCACATCCGTTGCTATGCAGAAGTGACATCCTAATGTGATTTGGGATGCCATGCTTACGCGGGCGGGTGGGGAAAGGCGGGGGTGGGCTATCTTTGTGATGCTGAAGATCGAACGGCGGACATTGGTAGGGGGGGAGTACGCCTACGATTGATGCAACGCAGGATGCATAGTCGTTCGGTAGGCAGGCTCGCTGGCTAGTTCAGCTGGTGATAGGCTATTCAAGTTCAGAGCTGTTCCTGCAATATACGCAGCGGACCTGTATCAATTTGACCCACGGGGGGTTCTACATAACGGGAAGATGGATGATCTCGTATGATGACCACTTTTGCGGTATCTATAAACACAGTGGTAGTAGCGTGCTATAGTATGTGTAAACTGTGCCTGATGCCCATCTACTCTACTGTCACAATATATTCAGGAATGTATTCAAAGCGGCCGGCTACATTTGTACAAACTTATCAACGGCGGGCGAAGTCGCGCGCATGCACGCTCCCCGATCCTGAGCGGGACAGGAGGACCTTCAGAAGAGCTCGGATATCAGTCAAGAACTCCGCGGCAGAAGCAGGGCTGGCAAAGGCAGCCGCGGAGGAGGAAGTGGGCGTAGCCACCTCAGTGCTCTTGGTAGGAGCCGCAGTCGATGGGGAGGCGACCATGCTGGAGGACACGGCAGTCGAAACAGGACTTTGTGTGGCAGCCGTCGTCGGGCCCGCACTGGTCGCAGTAGCGGTTGTGCTCTCCGTAGGGGCAGCAGACTGCACGGTTGAAGGAGCAGAAGCAGTTGCAGAGGTGGCGGCACTGGAAGAGCTAGTGGCGCTTGAAGAGCCGGAGGAGCTTCCGGAGCTTCCGGAGCCAATCTCTGTAGTAATCGGGCCCTCCTCCACGTAGACGCCGGACCAGAACCAGTCTTCCGCCGCGTCATCGGATTCACTGCCTGGCAGACGCAGCTGGCCGACGTGCCAGTCAGCGGAGTTGGAGGATGTCGAGGCGCTAACCGGTGCGACAACCTGAGTCAAGGGCTCGGAACCATTGGATGCCCACAGGCCAACTTTGTTGGAGTCGAAGTCAATGTCGTAGGCGAAGTTGTACCACGTACCTGCCTCCAGCTGGACCGACCAATGCGATTTGCCGTCCGCGTTCCAGCTCAAGGTGTTGTCGGAAGCGCCCGATGCGCCATACTTCAGCTCCGTGAAGTGGCTTTCGAAGAATGCAATCTGGTGCTCGAACGAGGGATTGGGGGGGTTAACCTCCTTGGTGGAGAGAGAAAAATGATAATACAGGTGACCCGAGCCCAGATTAGCCTTGGTCTGCGGAATGAGCTCGGAGCGCTCCATGGTCTGCCCATTCCAGAAAGAAGTTCCATCCTATAGACCATGGTTAGGTGAAGTAAGACAAAGGGTTACACCTGGCATCACACACAATAGTGATTCGCAATCCCTGGGCGTCGGCAGCCGCTGGGTTCTTGAATTCGGAGGAGATGCCCAAATACTCGGACGTTTCACCAGAGCCGTGAATGTACCATTGCCACGCACCGACCTGGTTCGACCAGGACCCTAGAGCTGTCAATAACGTACTGGTACCAAGATGGAGGGTTCTGTACATTTGTCAATGTCGTCCACGGTGAGCGAAGAATCGGAAATACCGCTCCACAGCACGGATCCAGCCAGCGTGGAAGCAGGAAGAGCGAGAAGAGTAATGAGTGACTGCATAGTGAGAAATAGAAATAAAATGAATGAAAATAACTTGACAATGCGACCGGCACAGTTGGGGAGAACTTGTGATTGTGGACATTGGCATCTTTAAGAGTAGGGAGTGGGTCCGGTCAAGATGATACTGAAACAAGGGAGGGTGAAGCTTGTTCCATATTGATTATCAATTCGGTTCTTCATGAAGAAGCTTGATAAGATAGTCTAACCGCGGAAATTAAGCGCTCGATTGATCCGGCTTGCTTGCGAGCTATACTTGAAACAACAGCATCTAATGGTTGTCTGACCATCTATGAATGGTGTGGAATTTAACCCTTGGTCAATGCGAACTAGTTTCATTGGTGGAATAACCGTCTGTCCAGGTTGACTATTCGACCTTACTGCAATACCTTAGTAGACTATTTGTTCCATATAAATCCTGTCTATTTGAAACCTGCCTACCGCTTAGGCTTTCTTGTCATCCAGCACAGGGAGAGGAGCCCTAAGTCCGGTGAACCAATGGATTTTCTACCGCAATTAAAGAGCCCTAAAGGGTTTTCAAAAATCAATTTATACATATTTTTTGTTTCTCACTTCCTTTGTTCATTTAATTTCTTATTTTTTACTTTTATTTCTATTTATTTGTTTATGTATTTATTTATATTTTGAATTTTCTCTAAGCTCCATCGCCGCAATCCTCATCGTCAGACAGTTCGAAACATCATTCGCACCTCCCAGTGAACGGACAACTTGAATGATACAAAAATCTCAAAGGTCATGACAAAGGCCCGAGGAGCCATTTGGTGGCAAATAAGCCGAGAATATTGCTCGATGGTATCTTCGTCATCCATACTACCAAATGCACTTGCCAACGCCTTCAATGTCACAGCGACATCACACAAAAAGCGCAACAACTTCAGAAATACATACGCCCACCGATGGTAAAACTTGGTACATATGACCTTTCTCCTTCATTCAGGCCCCTCTATTTCTAATTAGCAGCTTTCAGCAGGTTATCCTAGCCCAGGGTATACCGCGCGCGCTGTATGTCATTGCGGCGCTTTTTCACAGTGCTGTAACCCTTCATGTCACACGATAAAGCCGCGTCACTAAGATACCAGTCGACGCCCTCGATGCAACAAGGAGTAGTAAGCGAGTCAGTGTCCTGAAAGTCTTTCAAGTGAGTGAAGTGGCTGGTGAGAACCTGGAATTCCAGTTCGCCAGTCACAGCCTTGGCGCCGGTCGAGGCGATGTCGGGAAGCGACTCGAACATAGAAAGGGGAGGCGTGATGGATCCCACTAGTACAGTCTTCGGGTAGCAAAGGCCGACGAGAAGGAGTTATCCTTGTCTACAAGAACATGATACTGAATCTCTGTCCCTGCCAAAAGAATTGTGAGCGTACTGACTACCGGCGGCATGGGCGTCGGAGATCGGCGACCCAACCGGTAGATATATTTATGTTAACCGCCGGGCCGACGACATCCTCACCTACCGTGGAGTCACAGTCACCCAACAGCCCCAGAACGGGGTTTATTGTTGCTTCGCTAGTCGGAGGTGGAGTTTGATTTGCAATTTGAATCACCTCCCTAGGCCGAATGGTCTTTACAGAAGGCATCTGAAGCGCTGTTGGATGAGACGATACTATAAATACCGGCCGCTAATGCATGGTAACTGCGCCGCACCAGGGATGTCCAGCCCCCTCACTGGATCTTGTACTTATAAGACGGTGCTTCTCCTCTTCCTCTCTTGCTGCCTCTTGGGGTGTTTCTGAAGCGATCGCAGTTACAGACGTTTTACCATCACCACCATGTCTCCGTCGCTTGAAGACCAAGCAATGCATCAACTGCAGTCGCAGCAATCCAAACTGCTGGACAAAATCGACGAGCTCCGCACCATCGGAGTCGGCGGTCTCGTCGAACTCCCGCAATTGATTGTTTGTGGTAACCAGTCCAGTGGGAAGAGTTCGGTGCTCGAGGCGATCTCGCGCGTCCGCTTCCCAGCCAAGAGTAGCGTCTGCACGCGGTTTGCGACCGAGGTGATTCTTCGTCGCAGCCCACAGCCAAAGATCCAGGTCTCGATCGAACCGGGCGAGTCGAGAACCAACGAAGCAGACCGCCAAAAACTGCGGAACTTCGCACCCCAGGCATTCTCCAGCTACGAGGACCTCCCGGAACTCATTAAAGCAGCGAAGGAATGTATGGGCATCAACGAGGAAGACGCGGTCAACTCTGGGTTTAGCGATGACGTGTTGAAGGTCGCGATCTCGGGTCCTGATAAACCGGAATTGACTCTGGTTGACCTGCCGGGGCTGTATCTTGCCACGAGTCGTGATCAGGGGCCAAAGGGGATCCAGATAGTCGAAGCCTTGACGGAGAAATACATGAAAAACACGCGCACCATCATCCTGGCAGTGATCAGTGCGAAAACGGACTATCATTTGCAGAAAGTACTGGACATGGCAGAGCGATTTGACAGCAAACGCGAGCGGACGCTGGGTATTATCACGCAGCCGGACATTCTGGAAGCTGACTCCGAAGAGGAAAGTAATTACCTGCGCTTTCTGCGAAATGAGAAAATAGCCCTGCGACTCGGATGGCATGCGTTGCGGAACCGGTCCTTCAAAACATGGAACATCTCCGACGATTCGCGAGATGAGAGGGAACGGGCTTTCTTCGAGCAGGGCCGGTGGGCATCACTTTCGCGCGATTGCGTGGGAGTCGAGAGTCTTCGACGCCGGCTCAGCAGTGTTTTATTGCAACACGTTCGTCGCAATCTTCCCAGTCTGGTTGCTGATATCCAAGAGAAGATTGCCGACCGGCAGAAGCGAATGGCGAAGCTGGGACCTGCACGGTCGACGCTGCAGCAGCAACGTGGCTTTCTCTTAGGGATCAGCAGCAGCTTTGAACGCATTACCTGTCAGGCCCTGAATGGAATGTATGCAGATGAATTCTTTGGTGAATTCGGCGATGATGCGCAGGATTCTCAGGACTTCCGCCGGCTCCGAGCCGTTATCCGTGAGTTGAATGAATGCTTTGCCGACGCCATGAACGTTCGTGGCTCTCGTCGGGTTGTGAGGGGATTATTGGACCCGAGATATGACTTAGAACAGGAGAAGCAAAAAATGTACATGGCAGACTGGTCGCCAGAATACATCACCCGGGAAGCGCTGGAGAAGGAAATAGGCGACCAGGCCCGGAAGAACCGTGGCATCGAGCTTCCAGGCAGTGCAAACCAGTTACTGGTAGGCAGCCTATTCCGGGACCAATCTAAACCGTGGGAGGACATCGCTCGCGTACACTTACTGAATACCTGGGAGTCCGTGAAGTACTTTGTTTGCCTCCTCATCCGGCACCTCACGGATGAAACGACATACACACTCCTGGTGGGCACGGTTCTTGCACCCCAGCTGGAGCGAATGAAGGATGGTTTGCTAAGCAAGTTGGGAGAGCTCACGGCCTATATCAAGCGCGGACATCCGTTGCCCGTTGGAAAAAGCTTTCTATCTAAAATTCAATCCGCCCGAACGGCCCGTCAGATTGAGACGTTGAGGAAGGGTCTGAGCCTTTCTCATCCATTATTGGCACCCAAAAATGGTTCGGAGTCATTCAATGTCAATGATCTAGAGAGGGCTGCGTCCGAGCTTCAATCGTCCAGCGATCAATTCGCCGCAGCCGAGATCATCGACCAGATGCAGGCATACTATGATGTGGGTTCGACACATAAACATCTGAAGAGCTATGCTAACCAACCACCTTTGAACAGACGAGTATTGTCACCTTCGTAGACAACGTTGCAACCCTTGCCATCGAGAATTGCCTTCTCAGTCCAGTGGAGCACATCTTCACCAGCCAAACTGTCAATAACATGGACGACCAGCAGATTCGCGAGCTTGCCGCAGAGTCATCCCATGTTCAGCAGGACCGACAACGACTGGATCAAGAGCTAAAGAGATTACAGGCAGGGCTGGACACTTTCAACATCTTCAGCACCGAAAGCTCCGCATTACAGCGACCGCCTATATTTGGGAAATCAGCCTCAAAACAGCCGTCTGTGTTCGAAAACCTCAATTCAATTGCGCTACGCAAGAAGAGCGAACCGCAGTCCAAACGTAGATATCCCAGACCCATGCCATACGATAGTCTGCGCTAACCTATCGAGCAGCACACTTGGTTCCTGCAACGGCCAGTCCTTCTCCACCCGTGGTGTCAGGCGACAACAACAATAGAAACAGTACGGCTTCTTCAACACGTCATCTAGGCTCAGCATTCGGACCACCCTCCTCCCTCGGTACTGGTTTTACGCTCAGCGGAAGCTCTAGCTCTGGCAATCACTCCCCTGCTAAAAATACCAACCAGGAAAACCCATTCGGCCTTCCCAGGGGTAGTTTCCCTATAGCGAAGACTCCCAGCTCCTCGGAGGGATTATTCGGCTCATCGCTCTTCTCCAAAGCAGATGCGGTTAAACCCTCGGTAGAACCAGGACGGGGTCTATTTGGGAATTCCAGCTTCAGCCAACCGTTCGGTAGTTCTAGCATGTCTGGTTTGAAGGATACCACTGCCAAACATAATCCCATAAAAGCGCCAACCACAGAGGGATTTCATCGGTAGGACGAATTAAGTACCTAACCACATGGACAGAGCATGTTTCTAATCGTTGTTGTCCATGGCAAGAACCATCTTCTCCCATGGCCCGGATTCAGACGGAATGTTGCACCAGTATCAACACATCTGTATCCTTCGTCGCTTTGGTGAATATTCTCCCGAGGTTAGTCAGTATATATGACATTGCATCCACCCCCAGCTCACCGCATTCTGTTGTTTCGCGGTATGGCTAATAGCTTGCTATCAGGAACTGCGGCTTGGGGACTATGCGAGAGGCTTGAGGTTCGCCCTTGACAAGGTTTCCTGATGAGAGGCTTCCTTCGCTAAATAACCAGAGGCTTTGAGTATGCGATGTGAGAGTAATTTTCTTCAGCCAATCACATTTGAACGAAGCTTTGTGTACAGGTGTCTAGGGAATAAACAATCTCAAATCCTCGTCAGGAGCGTACTATGGTCCAATCGTGGGATAGTCATTTGGAACTTTTTTAGGATTCAAGCAGAATTTGGTCAGCCAATTACAATTAGCAAAGTACCGAGCCATTCATAATTGGATATCTCTCAGTAATATTCCTAAGGTGCAATGGCTAGACCACAGCCAACAAAGAATCTAACAAACATGCTACCAGAAGCTATGCCAGTGCCGACTGCACTTATTCCCTAGAAATATCACTCCAGTTCCTAATATCCAGTTTGATAATAGTCCAATTGATCTACCAGATCCTCTGCACTGGCCCAAAAATAGTTACGATAATTCAGGTAATGGTTCCCCCACATTGTTCCAACTCCATCTTCTTTTGGTGGAATGCGGTTGAGATGATATGTGAAATGCGAAATGATTGGGCTCTGGCGGGCATTTTCTAAGAGTGGAGACGACGAGGCCATGAAGAACCCATCAGATTTGGTTTCTTTCACCATGCAGCCGATTGACACTTCAACATGGAAGGCTCTCCGTCTGGCACATTGATTGTTATCAGGTGCGGTAAAGAAACAGATGGACCACGCCTCGTGCACGAGGTATTGTGCAAACTCGATGCCATCGCATATACTCCGGTGTGGTAAAGGCTCTGTCAGTGCTGTAATTGGCGGTTCCTCCAGTGTGCGATGATCTCCATAGACCAGAAACCCCCTTCCCCCGTAGATTAACCATATAACTAGTGCAGACCTTTGTTTAGCAATTATCTTCAGAAGATGATCTACATCTAGCTATCTTTTGAAAAGGTAAACGAATAGAAGAAGACTTTTTTCACTGGCTATAGTCAGATGTAGTTATGTGAACTAGTTGGTTATTATTATTCAACGATCTCTATTGCCACTTACATGCTTCAGGCAAAGGTTAAATCGCCTAATAAGTAGTCCATACTAGTCCATAATAGTTCTAGATAGACAGAATCGCGGTACAAGCCCTATATAAGGAATATTGTTCTCCTGACTGCACTGTATCTATCTCACCCAAAACCTGAACTTTATTACCCACTTCTCTTCTTATGTATGCTATCTACTGGATAAAAATTAATCAGTTCTCAGAAGCTAGCGTTTCTACCTTCCTTCCTTTTTTAACCACAAGAACTTTCACGCACATATCTGACTTCTCTAAATAGGCGGCGTGGAGCACCCCCCCGAAATAGCAATACACATAATTATAGTAATACATAAGGCTACTAAATCTTAATCTCGAGCGATAAGAGTGGGAATAGAACAGCCTTCCTTCTTATAAAATTCTATCTATAAGGAGAGTCATCATGATCTGTATACTATATTTTCAAGTACACATTAAAATAATCTTTTCTGGTCTACCTCGAGATCAGCTCTGAGAAACCCTGTATCGGCAAGGCTGTATCTATTGCAGGCAAACTGTACGCATAGCAAATTCTGAGAACATTTTTCGAAGATATAGAATTATCTTTGCTCTTGAGATAGATTTCATAATATTATCAAATAACATTAAATCGAGTGCCTGTGTCGGTCCCGGGTGGTAAAATCACCCGATAGCCCTACTGGTATTCTCTGCCGACAACCTCCGGGCGCCTTGCTTTTACAGCCCAACATCCTAAACCCCCAAAATGACCCTACGCGTCTTGTCTGACCTTGGAGCGCACCATTCTGGGTCTTTGCGGGATAAACAGATACGTCCTCTGCATCGCCCCTGGAACCAACTGTTGATGTGGCGGCAGCTAAAGTTAGGTCTAAGATCCGTTCATCCTTTTTTTTTTTTTTTTTTCAAGCTCGAGTTCAGCTCACCACCTCAGTAGCTAAGTTAGGACACGATCACCATCCATCCCCCTTCCAGTGCATCCAATCCCAAGCCGTGCCAACTTGTCGGGGGTATCTCTCTCAGCGTCTTAGCTCAGATCGGCAACGATCGACAGCATTATTGACCCTCAACCTCCAACTCCAATCTACCGCTTGCATAAGAACAAAAACACACCGAAACGCCACAAAAACTCTGACTTTTTGGGTAATGCCTCGGAAATGAACAGAGGGATAGTCAGATACTCGTATTACTTTTTATTGTCCAGTGTAGCAGTACTCTACTTGGGGAGAAACGAAACAGTCACGATACAATTTACCAGACCACAAATCTCCCGAGTGAATTGAGCTCTTCTTTGTCTGAGATTTCGATCGTTTAACTACAGTGCTGACCAACTCCCGACGGGTGCTGCTGAAACTGCCGGGTTAAATCTGGACCCGATCTATGCTTATCACTTTTGCTTCATGGACGCCAAGATGTGCTAGCATGTACAGAGTAGATTAGAGTCAACCGAGGAACAGGACCGAAGACATTAATCCCAGGAAATCTTTCCCTAGGGCTGAGATGAGACTGAAACCTACCAGCTCCGGTCAAAGCGAGGTGGGGGGGTGGATTGGGTGTGACCTTAAGAATTACTATCACTTCTATCTTGCCTTCGACATACAGGGATCATCTTTGCCATGTGAGCTTCATCCAGTTGGCAGATTATTAAATGCGAGGAGCGGCCAATGGTCAAAGAGATATCGAGGGTAGCGGTAATTTTAGTTGACAGAGACCAAAAACAAACTTGAGACTAGCCGGAACTACTTGGAAAATCCACACTGTTGTGAACATCCCAATCTCGCTCAGCTTCGTGGGTTGAAGTTAATGCATGCCGTGATACTTAAATTAACCTTAAGCCCCAATGATCTGCAGGTCTATCCATAAAAACCGTTCTAGTGTAGCGCCACGCCAGAAACCAGCTCAGCTTGGTTGGTGTAAACCTCTTCCCCTTCTGGTACCAAACTGAGTTTTTTTTTTAAAAGAAAAAAAAAAGAAGTTTGTTCCCTCCTAAGTGCAGCCGGTTATGGGTGTCCAGATGGATCTGACTTTTGGATACGAACTCCAAGAAGGGCCTTGGAAGAGGGAAACCATCTCCTGTTGATCACTTCTTTTGTTAACACGAATCGTATATAAAAATCGATCCATCATTATAAAAGCGTGTACCGTGCCCACGTCTAGATCGGACTAACGCATTCTCTCCCCCCCCTTCCGTCGTCAGACTTGTACTTCAAGTTTTCATCACTTCAATAGTTCGCCATGACTAAATCATGGATCGCGTCTCTGCTGCTAAGCGTAGCTGTGGCCTCTGCGGCCACCGTCCCCGAGTTCGGGTCCCTCAGAAGACGGGCTCCTAGCCCCGACGTCATAACCAACAATTTCGTGCCTATGAGGACGGTACACAGCTCGCAATCTAAGGGACTCCGCCGCCGTGAGTGGAACGGAGGTACGGCGAGTATCACCAATCGGAACGCAATGCAGTATGTCGCCACAGTTACCTGGGGGGATGAACAATTCGACATGCTGTTGGACACTGGATCAAGTGATACCTGGGTCCTCCAGGAAGGTTATCAATGCCTCGATAGTAAAGGCGCTCCCACAAATGTAAGAAGTTCCACCGGCCTTACTTTCTTTCCTCGGGTGAGGCGATTTCTAATATGCCACAGAAAAGCCACTGCCCCAATGCACCCAATTTCAGTGGGAATTACACGGGGGGCCGGATTGAGAATGTGCATTTTAACCTCACCTACGGCACAGGAAGCGTCATCGGCACGTATGGCTGGGAAGATATTACCATTGCTGGTGTCACCGTCCACAACGCCCAGGTGGCCAGTGCTACTAAAGCATACTTCCCAGTTCGTGGAATCAGTGGCATCTTTGGCTTAGCTTTTTCGTCCGTAACAAGCGAGTGGCCTGGGGATGATCCGTCCAAGGATTCGGGAGACATGTATATGAACTACGAGCCCGTCTTTTATAGGATGGTTCGGCAGAAATTGAGCCTGCCCACCTTTAGCTTCGCACCAGAACGGAACGGCAGTAATGGATACTTGGCATTTGGTGGTATTCCTCCAGTGAACACTACCGGAAAGACTGGATCTACAGCTATTCTCAGTGTGAGTTCTTTTTCTTTTGCGTGTGTGTGTCTCCATGGAAAAGAGGGGGTAAGATCTCTGCGACTAACTCGTGCTCTATTTCTGAATGCTAGACCCAAGTAACCGGTACAAAACCCGCCATCGACCGAAACGACTACTACACCATCAACGTCGACGGGGTAACCATTACAAACCGAAGTACTCGTACTTCCAACCCCAATAGCACCCATTTCCCCTCGTTCCAACCCATTGTGGATACTGGTAACACTCTCACTTTGGTCCCCAGTGGTAGGTTTCCCCCCTCCCTCTCTCCAACCTGTCAGCCTCCGGACAGCTATCGACTGCACCACGAGTCGTGTGACCACTAACGTTTCCGATTTTGGTTGAAATAGACCTCGCTGCTGCTATTGCCGGTTCCTTCAATCCTCCTGCTACCTTTATCAAAGATGACAATCTCTATGAAGTACCCTGTAACGCCACTGCTCCCAAATTGGACTTTGCCATTGGCGGTGTGAACTTCACCATGAGCCCGGCCGACTTGATTATGCAGACTCTAAAAGATTCGGAGACTCAGATGTGTCCTGTCGGAGTCCAAAGTGGCGGAGGCCAGCTTGGCTATATTCTTGGTGGTACCTTTCTGAACAATGTGCTGTCAACATATGATCTTGGCGCGCTGGAGGTAAGATTCACTGCTCTTGCTCCAAATACTTTCAATTAGGTCCATTTCCAAGGGAAAGAAGAGGGAGAGGGGGGTGGGGGGGGGGTGCGGTTCTGCGAAACAGTCCAGTTGTATTGAATTCCTCATCCTTAGTACTGCGGTCTATTACACTGGCAGTCTGGCATGCAGAGAGCAGTATCGATTGCATTCATGTTCAGGTATCAACTGTGAGGCATACGATCTTTAACCTCTTAATATTTTAAACTTCTATGAGGAAGCATAATGGCATCAATAACCTAAAAGAGTGTTTTCTGAAAGTAGTTTTAGTGTCAGATCGATCTTGAACTGAGACCAGTCGCGGCTAGCACAAGACCGAAGGATGAAGACTTTTTCATAGTTAAACTCTAAAATAGTATTTAAACCCAGGGATGTATTATGTAGACGAGGTACCGTACTATTATAGGAAGGTCATATCATATATGTTGGTCATATTGCGTATTGTCCCACTGATTGGCCTTGAAGCATGTAATCTTTTCCCATTTAGGAGGGTCTTCTAGGATAATAGAAGTATAGCAGATTCTGTAGATACCTGTAAGGAAGGTAGACAGATAGAATAGGGTGCCTAAGTGCAAAAACTAGGAGTGAACAAAATAAAAACGTATGAATAAGTTAAAATTAATTTTATTATTCAAAAGAACTCTATAATAATAATATAAAATAAAGATACTAAATAACGTAGTAAATTAATTATAGAAAACTAACCGAAATATATAAATAAATAATTTTATATTTTCTAAATATTTCTATTTAGTAGTATTCTTAGTATACGATTCATATCTCTGCGATGGCGAATATTCTCGTGATCAAAAGTAGTTCATAAAACAATAGGACTTTCTACAGCCTACTATTTGTTGATAAATCCTGCTATGACCAATGTGACGGAATATGAATAGTTGGAGATAGAAAACAATAGCTCCAGCTATCACCCATTCGTTTTCATAGCCAACTGGGGAGACCTGCGGGGTTAGGGTTCGTACGTAGCGGGATATTCACGCAGATTATTCATTAACCCATTTGTATCCACTCCACCAGAGTAATAATCTCCATGGGAGGCCCCTCCTCTTCCCTCTCTGATTTCAGTCTTTATCACCGTTTTAATTAAGACTTTGTATCGTGCAATAAAAAGAGTTAGATCCGGTTGAACTGAATTCTCGAACATACTACAGTACAACTGGCTCTCCGTAAAATAGCTTCGGCTTAACATCTACTTCCCAGCTCGCTACAGCATCTCGTGAAGCCCCACTGACAGCATCCATCCTCTAAAGTCTATTGATGATGCTGACCACTAGTTGCGGTATAGTCGATGATGATGATAGCGATGGTGATTCAGACACTGATACTCGCCTAGGCGATAACTAAACACCAGTCCTAGAAATCTCAGCTCCGGGCAAGTACACCACTCTGACCTATTCGAGGTGTCAGCAGCCAGTCCATAGAGCAAAACCCCGCCTAGAAGGTGATCTGCATCTAGCTCTGTATTCAAAGAGCAAGGTATTAGAAGAGGGCTGCCTTGGCTGGCTGTAGTCAAATATAATTCTGTGAACTAGCTAACTAAAAAACTAGAATCGTATAATAACTAGGTAAATCATGACTATATAAGGAAGTGGGCATAACCCTTCGCTGCAGTTTGTACATATTTTCTTATTGCACAGAAGAGCGACGCGAAGCAAGAATTCTCTATTGTCCAACACGCGATTCTTCGAGCCATTTTAAAGTCACAATGCGAGTCATTTACTTCTTCTCTGCCTATCTTATGGCCACAGCGATGGCAATTCCAATCAATCCGGACGGATCGGAAGTTTTGGCTAAGCGTGGAGCGTTCGAAGACCTCATAGAGGAGGAAGGTCATACAACTCAACGATAATTGCTAGATGGCTAGGGCCAACCGACAGCAATGAATAGATGGCGCGGGCTTCTCAGGGTAAACCGGCAGAGGACTTTACACCGGAGCCAAAGGAGGCGCTTAAAAAGCGCAACAGGCGAACAGGGGGGAGGCGGACAGAATTCACGACAAGCCGCAAGCGCTAGGGGTGAACGGGAATGACAAAGTCATAGACGCGAGCCTTAGGAGAATTCTTGGACAGGCACCGCGGCTTCATTCAGATAGGGCTATCTTCAGGTAGCTAGCCCTTGAAGAAACAATCGATGGATAGCTCGGCTGAGTCTTGATATGGTTTTCCCCTATTGACCTTATTGTCCTCCATATCTCTGTCACGGACTCAGGATAATTCCCGTATGATGACTGGGCAGCATACCGTGCCCTCTGTGCGTAACTCAGGTGTGCCGAGCCGCCACGGCGGAGTCCACATCCATTGCCTTTTCAATAACGTACAGTAGCCTAGGAAGCTACCTGATCCCATACAAAGATTCCGGGGCCCATTATCTGCAAGACAAGCAGAACACCCAGGCTCTTTGGCGTGGCGGGGATTCAGAATAATGTATATAAATAAAAAATAAAAAAAAGAAAAAAACATACAACAGGAGGGATTCGCTGGTGGTCACCCACCCAACTACTAACCTCCCGGCGTGTGGCTTAAGTACGGCTGAGCGGACGGGAAGCCCTGTTCTCCACACCCTGTGGTCGTATGTATCATTTTTATATCGTGTTAGATATATATATGGAAATGATGAGATACTTCATGGTTGGCCACTTGGCAATCTTCCAAGCTTTTATCAAACGCGAAAAAATGTAGAGATTTCATAGACTCGATAGGATAAAAAAATTCTAAATGCCCCATTCCTTCTTCAACTGCTGCTTCCAAACCTCAAAGTCGACCTCCTCGCCATCCACCAGCATCTTTCCCGATGGTACGGCCTTGGGTCGTGGGGGAACATATATAAAATCCTTGACATGTTTGGGATTGCATTTCCTGATCCCCATAGTCCCCGCCGCAAGCAGACTGGCACAGGCTGGACAGAATGCGGTATCGAGACAGATGGGGCACTGGTAGGAATCGTCCAGCGTAGGAAATTCTTTCCGACAGGGTCCATCACAGGTCAGCCAGTTGGAGTCCTCATCGTCCGGGCTTGCATTGTCGGTTGGCCCCTCTGGACCGTCTACGGGATATTTCCCAAAGACTTCATGATATGCAGCTGCGGTCACATTTTTGACATCGCCAGCCGCCACGAGTGCATTCAGGAGGTCCAAGAATCCTAACACATCGTTCTCAGGATCGTCATCGGACAGAATCGCAATTCCCCGTTTGATGGATGATTTGAAGAGAGCCCGAGCTTCCGCTTCACGCCCGCTCAAGCGGTAGTAGATCCCGAGGCAAATGGCACGCATACTGGAGACAGTCCAAAGTGCAGACTCGTCGTTTAGCTTAATCTCTTTCCCGAGCTTTTCGAGCTTTGCTCCGGCTTCTTCTGCTTGCGGGGTTCCGATTCCTGCCTCCACAGCGTCACAGAGAAACTGCTTCGCCAATTCGAAGGAGGCCTTCAGCTTCGAGAAGCCAATCACAGTGTCGTCCTTCGACGAGGCGTATGTGTTCATGATTTTCTCCCAGCGCTTGACTGCCTTCGCCTGATCTTGGAGGAATTCACTGTAGATTCGTGCCAGGGACATGTCGAGCTGGGCGGCTGTCACCGTCTTCGACGCCTTCCGAGCTGCACGGGCGGCAGTACGCCAGGACTCTACCATAAAATCGAGGCTATCAGTGGCCAATGCCGCATCTGCAGCGAGCACGAAGTAACGCGTGTCTTCTGCGGAGTTGTCCCACAGGGACTGTGTCAGCCGCGAAAAATCTTCGTCCGGAACCGGGGTGTTGGCTAAATTCCGGAGCAGGTCTATGGTGGCTTCATGATCGTGTTTGGCACCATAATGCTCCAGAAGCACATTAATACATGTGTCACAGTAGGGCGTTAGCGTCTGTGCTCTCTGGTATGCCTCAAACCGCTTTTCTAAATCCCCAAGCTGCTGATAGGACTTGCCAAGGCGTTCTAGGCAGGTGTGCATACTGGCTTTGAGTCCCAAGTCGTCTGGATTGGTTTCAATTTGTACCGATAAGGTCTGCACAATTTCCTCATCCAGGTCTACAGCTTTCTGCCATTCCCCTTTCATGGAATATACAATGGCCATGCCAGCTTTGCTCAGCCACATGTCCGGATCGAGCTCGACTGCTTTCGAGAAGTAATCCAGCGCCTGGTCAAAATACTCCAATTGGCGCAGGACGATAGCACACCGGCGATACCACAGCGCATTCTTTTCAAAATCGCCGAACTCGGCAGCTGCAATGATTTCTTCCGCCGTTGGGTTAAACGTTTCCAGGAAGTTCACCTCTTTACCCTTCAGAAGACTCTGGTAGCTCCATACCACCGCAGCCACCGGAGCAGCCAACCACATATTGTCTGCGACATATCGCTTCGTGCACAACATGGCAACCGGCTTGATTGTTGTAATGGGATCCTCCTTGGTTGAGGAGATAAACTCCCGTTCATCCGGCGTTAGTGACTCCAAAACTTCCTCATCGTCCCACCACTGTCGGATGGCTCGAATATTTGCCTCCGTTGATACCCAGCCTCGATAGCCTATCCAGCCCGTGATCGCTTCTTCGGATCGAAGCGCTACCAACAGCATTTTGGCAATATCGCGTCTATCGTCAAGGGAGCAGTCAGACGCGGGAGTTGTCAGGAGGTGATGTACCCAATTTTCGGCCGCATGACGGAGCATATGCTCACTATCGTCCGCTTTTTTCGCGAACTCCTTATCAGTAAAGATCCTCAGAAAGGTCTTGAGCACGTGGGCCTTCGCACGTAGATACTCAACCCCCACGGGGACATGGCTGTCCTCATCGGAAACCTTGCCTTCCGTCGGATCACGGAAGAAATCGCCAATGGATGCGTGACAGAAAGTGAGCGTCGTGGTCTCTTTGTGGGAGTCAAAATCCGTAAAGTTCTCAACATCCTCAAAGGCCTCCTTCTCCTCCTCATCTCTCTCCGTTCCTTCATCGTCAGATTCATCGAAATTGTTCCTGTTCGTGGACATCATCTGCAATTCCGCG